CTCGACCGAACCCGCTCGATTTCGGTCGCGGCTCTACTTCAACGATTAATCCGAATATCTTGACTTTGAATAATACGTTGACTTAAAATAATTAATCCCGACTAATAATGTCCGTTTATAAAAATAAACGTATCAGAAATTAATTATCGAAACTGATTCGGTTACCGAATATATATTAAAACGAATAGATTTTCGACTTAAAGTCGAACTTATATCTGAATAACTCACTAACTGGACTCGAAACTTATCTTTGACGATTTTTCAAATATTCTCGAATTCAATTAATACGTATAATTAATCCCGAACTTACTAATGTCCATTTGTCAAATAAACGGACTGAGATTAATTATAATCATTGACTCGGTTAATAAATAAAATTAACCGAAGATATTTTTCGACTTAACGTCGAACTTAAAACTTAACTAGCTGAATAACTTAAACTTAAACATTAACATGAATATTTATTAACCAAGGCTAGCTTATATTTAAAAGTTAGTATCTTTCCTTTATTAATAAAATACGGGCCGTTACAATATTAAGAAAAGAGTTTTTATGAGGAGAAAGGGGAAGAGAAGGAAGCCTCCGTGGCTAGGGTTTTTTCTGAAGGGACGACTTTGAGAAATTGAAGGGGAAGAACAGGAATTTCGAAAAATTTTGAAGGAAAGAGCAAGACTCACAACACTCAACAAGCAAATTAAACTACCCATCACATAGATTCAGAGCAAAACGCACAAACCCAGAACATTCAACAGACAAATTCAAGACACCCAATGCGAAAAATTTAGAAACACATAAATTTGGAACACCGGAAGCACAAGTTCAAATGAAGAACAACTTACTCATTGTTGCAGTGGGTAAGATATCGAGGAGCTGGAAAGGAAGGAGGAGATCGCAGAGAGCAAAGGGTAGGGTTTCGCAGAGAAATCTTAGAGCACAAGAGGAGCCAGAAGATGCAAAGGTGGAAAAAGTCCGAAAATTTGCTAAGTGTTGGTTTTATACTTAGATGAGTTGAAAGGTTGGAGGATAAGAACCGTTGGATTAAAGTATAATCCCACGGTTGAGAGCATTCACGTAGCACATGATTCAAAATGGGCGCGTTATGCGAGGGGGTGCAATAATTAAAGTGCATGTCAGACGCGACGGCGCGGCAGAAAGGACGCGGGGCAGGCAACTTTATTTCTGGTGGTTAAAAGGGGAAATAATTGGGGAAATAGCGGGAAACTTACCACATGGTCGATATCCGATATAATATTACCCAGAGAAAAGACAAGCACAAATTCACTCTTAGATAGAGTCATTCAGACTCGACAAGAGTGGGGGGACTAGATGATATGAGAAATTATACCCACAAGGATAAATCGGTCTGCTTAACCGGTCGAAGGGATTGTACCGCGAGGAAGCCGAACCAATCTAATGGTAATCGAGCAAGATGATGGTCGAACACCTTGAAGATAAGACCTGGAAGACTCTAGGACAAGCAACGTATCACAAGTAGTCGAAGGATCGACCAGTCGAGCAGTTGAGCAGTCGAGTCGACCTCAATAGGTCGACCACTGTATGGACTATCGAGATTCTGGAGATCGACCTAGTCACGGGCGCATGTAAGAGCCACTAACAGAATTTCGGAGGAATATTCAGAGGAATAACTATCCTATGTGCAGAGGACACGTGGCAAAAATGCATTGGTTGATGGCGAAAACCATATGTTAACAGTACGGACGGACAGCTGGGGCAGCCAGCTCACCAAATTCGGGCAACCTTTAGGTCAGGTATCTCACCCCTATATAAGTGGGGGTGAGCCTTTCTTCCTTAACACAATTTCCATTATTCTATTCAAACATACACATACTTACTTAAGCATCGAAGGCTGTTCACCGAAGAACCCCCGTTGTGAGAGTTGTTTGTAGCCAGCTCACCAAATCCGGGCAGCCTTTAGGTCAGGTATCTCACCCCTATATAAGTGGGGGTGAGCCTTTCTTCCTTAACACAATTTCCATTATTCTATTCAAACATACACATACTTACTTAAGCATCGGAGGCTTTTCACTGAAGAACCCCCGTTGTGAGAGTTGTTTGCAGGTTTTCCGGCGTTCCACCGGCGAGGACGAGATGCGATCTATTCCAAATTGGCAAGGACGCTCACACTTGCATTAATACTCCTTCAAACTTCTTTTCCTAAAAGTTTCTCGATAATAAAATAATTTTTATCATTTTATTATTACTATTATATATAGGTAAACGGATATAGAATAATTGAAATAAATATGTACGAATATGAGCCAATTAAAAAAATATAAATTAAATATTTGATGAAAAATACTAAAATGACTCAATTTCTAACCGCATACATTTAGTTTCAAATTATGTCGAAATAATTTTCACTTTTTTTGATTCACAAAATAAATTTCAATTTTATTATTTGCAAAATAAGTCACAATGACGTGCAAGATTGAATACCTTTTGTAAATTTACTAATAAGCACAATAATCGTTAAGGTTCATGTCAATAACAAATTACTTATTTCTGCATGTAAATTCATGCAAAATATAATTAAATATAATTTTTAGAAATGTACATTGATAGAACTTTCGTAAAAATACATTTAATTTATATTGTATAAATTATAAAAAGATAAAATTTATTTCGATAAAAGGAACATCATGATACATTATAAGAAAAAGTTGATGCATTATATTAAGTCGTATTGAACTTTATCTATTGCAATGATTTAGTAGCGATTATATATTCTTGTCATTCACTTAAGATAAAAAGCCATAAGTTATAATAACAAAAATTTAACAATAGTTAACACATTATACTATTTTGTTCATAAGAATTTATAGTAGCATAATTATGGATCAATAAATAAATAAAAATGAGGGTAGTGACTTCATCACAAACGATTAGATGCCCTCAAATTTAGGCCAAATTGAAACAAATGATATCAATTAAAAGTATAATAAATTTAACAAACCATGTTTTTTGGTCTCAAACTATTCAATTAATGAGTAATGCTACATGTACAATAGGGTTTGTACAATCACTTTGACAATGACATGTAATTACCTATTCACCCTTCTAATTGTAATATTTTAATTGTAGCATACTTAGAAATGTAGCACAAGAAGAAAAGGA